GGTGCTGGACGCTCATCATATGGTCAACCCCAGGTTGGCCACGGTCTTCAGGCGCTCCACGCTCGCGTGGAGGCTCTTGAGCGCATTCGGGCTTCTCAGATCACTGAGCTGAAGCAGAATCTGAACGTGCAGAAGGCCTACGTGGTCGAAGCCGCTCAGACCACCTCAAACATCCGTGTTGAGGTGTCGGAACAAGTTCGCCTTCTCCGGGAGAAGGTGAAGAGGCTTGAGGAGAAGCTGAGGACGCGCCGCGCGTCTTCGTCGGCGAGTCATCACGACTAGATGACTCGGGTTGCACGTATGGCTTCAAGCGCCCGACGTAGAACGTTGGGTGGAGTCTCATATCGGAAGGAAGTTCCGACGTGTATGCGTTACCGTGCCGTTCTGCCACTGTGAACGGCCCGATGAAGCGTGGAGCAAGCTTGCTTGCTCCGAATCCAGAAACTGCATGAGTAGGCAAGTTTTGAGTAGATAACAAGACTAATGAACCAATTTTGAATTCGTTTGTATTACCCCTGCCAACATTGTCTGCATTCAGCTTCTGCCTATCCGCAGAAGCTGCAATTGCACCTTGTACAAATCGAACGACTGCTTGTCGTTCTTGGACAAAGTCCATGGCTTGAGAGCTGAACCCCGGGTCCAGCTCATTGGTCTTGTCCGCGTCTGTGCCCTGCACAGACTCGCCACTTGTCCTCCACAGCCTCGCCACTTGTAGTCGCATCAGTCCCAGACTGTGCGTGGCTCATTGTGGTGTATGATCGCAACAGGCCCAGCCTGTGCATGAAGCTTCTCAGTATCGATGCCCGGTATCGATACATCACTTGTGCGCGCAACAAGCTGGCCTGTGCGTGAGTCTTCGCGGTGTCTGTGCACCGAACAAACACGTTGTCCTTGGCCGAAGCAGGTGTCGCCTGCTCGTGGTTCTTCACAGTGTCAGTGCCCGGCACTGACACGCCGCCTTGTCGTGTGCGGGCTCTCACGCTCGCACCTGTCGTCGCAGCTGATAGATCCGTATCAGCTATCTTCTGCGGTTGTTCGGACGCAACCGTAGAATCTCCCCCACTTAAGGAGGAAGCCACCGCCCCGAGCGTGCTCGGAAGGCGTGGATGTCGCATGGCGTTCACGAAGAACGGTGTATGCCCAGTCGAGGCATGCACCGCGTTGTTGGAACTCGGCCATCGGCAAGTAGTCGCTCCAGTTGTGGAACGACTGCGCGTAGCTTTTCAGCAAGTCTACGAGCACGCGGTTCACGCTCTCGGTTTGCCCGTCCGTCTGCGGATGGTCCGCCGTTGACATGGAGAATCGGGTTCCAAGAAGTGTGAACACTTCTTGCCAGAAACGCGCCGTGAAGCGCGGATCGTGGTCCGACACAAAGCCGTTGAGCATGCCATGGTGCTTGGACACCATGTCGACGAACAGACGTGCCGTCTGTACGGAAGTGACCTGCGTAGCAGGATCATGTACGAGTATCACGATGTCCCCACAGCAGGACATCCGGGACGTGAGAAGACGTATTCCCTTCTCACCCGAGACTTCTACTGGAACCACCAGTACAAGTGGGTGCGCAAGTACGTACGTACTTGCGATGTTTGCCAGCAAGTGAAGCCTGCGCCTCACTCGCAGGCTCCTCTCCAACCACTGCCGACTTCGTCGGAGTGTTGGGAGTCCGTTTCGATGGACTTCGTGTTTGGTCTTCCGCGGATTCCAGGCTGAAGACTGGTATTGTGGTCTTTGTGGGCCGCTTCAGCAAGATGGTACATCTCGCTGCTGTCGCAGCGGAGGTGAGGATCATTCGGCACGACAATGCGTTCTGCATTGTCGTCTACAGCGCTGTAAAGCAATAGACCATCGTGCACACGATATCGGTGTGCACTCGCTCGTAGACGAGGGGCCAA